TCCAACAACAGCCCCAACTGGAAAAATGCTGACGCCAACGTTTCCACGGACACCACTTTCAGATTTAGCAATAGACTTCGTGGGCCCACTGAAGACGTCAAATCACTACGATATGATCCTAACGTGTACTTGCCGATTGTCGGGGTTTACCAGAATTATTCCAGCTCTGCAAACGGACACAGCGGAACGCACGGCTACTCGACTTTTTAATGGCTGGCTGGCTTTGTTCGGCGCGCCCAACTCAATTTTGAGCGACAGAGACAAAACCTGGACCTCGGCATTTTGGAAGGCCTTGATGGAGAAGTTACACATCAAATTTCACATGACAACTTCTTTTCATCCACAAGCAGATGGCAGGAGCGAAAGGACCAATAAAACAGTTGGTCAGATCCTTCGGACATTCACATCAAAACGTCAGGGGAAATGGCTGGAGGCAATACCCGCAGCCGAATTTGCTATCAACTCAGCTGTTAATGTTGCAACAGGGTACAGTCCATTCGAACTGTTGTTTGGCAGAAAAGCTTCCTTGTTTCCATCAGCAGAAAGTACAGGAGAGGCTCCGGCATGTTTGGCAACCTGGGCGAAATGGCGAGAAGGGGCCTGGCAAGAGGCACGAGACATGTTGTGGACGAGTCGGGTGAAGCAAGCCATTCAACACAACAAACACACCAAAGAGCGGGCGACACTTGAGCCAAACTCGTGGGTTCTCCTCAACTCGGCGGATTGGAGGGGTCGACAAGTTGAAAGAAAGGTTTGAAGGCCCATACCGGGTATCGCATGTGAGCAACCATGGTCAGAACCTCAAGCTCGAACTACCGGAGGGCGACCGCCGTCACCCAATTTTCCATATCTCGAAAATCAAGCCTTACTACTTCCCAGGGGATGGTGAAATGCTGGGCAAGCAGAAGTAAGTTCCTCTCCTCTGGTGCACCTCAGGGTAATTCTACATTCAAGTTGGAAGACATAACCTAGGCCACGTTGTGAGCACACACCCGTTTGCGTCACAGGTTTCCCCAAGCTTTGGACTCGATTATGGACACCCGTCATTTCAGCTCTTTGTCTTACTTCATTTTCCTTTTCCTTTTTCACTCTGTTTTGCTCTTTCTCTTTGAATTGTGGTTTTCACTTTAATCTCTTCTTTTTCTTGATTCATTTACATGCCTCAACTTCGTAGTTATATTCTTTCATATTTTTCATTCACATTATAGGGGGGGAGAATGTGAAACCTCGCCACACACAGGTTTCACAAACATCAAGCTTACATAATCTTCAACTAATAAAATCCCTTCAGCTCCCCTTTGTCCTAGCTCGGTAGAGAACTATTATCTTCTATCCTACCGAGCTAGGTGAGTTTTATGGGTTATTGTTCTTCTTTCATTCCTATTTCTTTCATTCTTTTCTAATCATTCTAAGTTTGTTGATTTGTACTGAGAGAACTATTATCTTCTATCCTACCGAGCTAGACTATTAAAAATAAAGATATACATTGGTTCTAGAAACGTTCTCTCCCGGCTACATTGCCGGTCTCGACGATTATAAGTACGATAGTGAAGAGTCACGACGCGACTCTTACACCTAGATCACGAATCAATCTACTAATGAATCTGTTACAACTTCAGGTTAATAATGGAAACTGTGGTGCTGATGACTTGAGCACAAAACAGATAATTTGTTATAGAGTTTGTTAATGATCTCTTCCTCAAACAATTTCTTGCTAAGGCACTTTAATCAAAAACTAGAGCTCCGGTACTAATACTACTACTACTTGTTATTGGTTTAATTGTTAATGTACTACTACTAATATGCTTCAAATTCCGAACTCTGTGTTGGTTTCACGCTTACAATACTGTACTAATTCACTACTTATCACTAACTCACTCACTTACTAACTTATTCTTCAACTGGGGTGATCAAACTTACTTCCGTAGGTTGATGGGGAGAAGGGACTTTCTGGTGGGGAGAGGCCCTTCTTTTATATTGAAGAGTGAGGGATTTCTGCTGCAGGGGACTCCTTGTGAGGGAATATTGCTGCAGGGGATCTCACCTTCACAGCCTTTGCGCACAGCCTCCAAACAAATAGCACAGCTTATGCTGTGCTAGGAACACTTAACTCCAGACCTTGTCACATAATATGCATGCAAGGGAGCACACAAGCGCAGCATGATGTCATGCATTGCCAGGCAACCAAGCTGTCAGCCACAGAGCACCTTTCACAGTACGTGAAATGTACCTAGTAACTGCAATAATAATAACTAATTGAATACTGGAAAATATCATACATTGTTGTTAAAATAATAAATAAATAAATATGTATTTACATTTAATCTTACTTCATAATTTATATTTAATAATTCTATAATTAACTGTGAAATCCCCTTGAGTATTGTACATATAATATCACTAGGATTTCACAGAAATATCATTAGAATAAAGTATTAAAACAATGTTTATTCTTATACATTATGTACATATTTTATAAGCCATAAATAATTACATATGTATAAAGAATCAGCTAGTAGAAGCGTGAAATGGATGAGGAATAAGCTATATACATTTATCTGAAGCTTACCCATCCTTGATCACATCATCAGGGCATCAGATTGCATCATAACCCTCTTGGATGGCGTCATCAGGACCCTTTTGTGCTCTAATTCAAAGCTTGCATAATTCAAAGTAGCCTGCACGGGAAAGGAGCCCAAATTCTACATGCAAGACTGAATTATGCATGATGGACATGCATTTCTCATGATCACAAGCTTGCATAAGCAGAGTTACACGTATGCAACTAACTCTACAATTGCACAGCCCCTGCACAGTAACTGTAGCCTTTTCAATTACGTGAGAAATAGGCCACAAAACTCAATTATGCATGTATGATCTCATGTCCTAGGACTTTCCACCCATGCATAGCACTGCACAGCTGCAGCTCCCATCCTTACACGAAATTGTAGAGCAGCTAAGAAGCTCCCTAGTGCCCTGAGGGCCTCTCCTCTTCCCCTGAGCCCCCTGTAGAATATTTAAGGAGCTCAGATTCCTACCTTTTCCCCCCAGGAAATTCTAGTAGCATCAAACCAACACTTGTACCGTGTTTATTAGTGATTCAAACCACCAATAACATTACAACCCAGCTACCTTAGACCTAAATAGATTTACTTTGCTCAGATTCAAGGCATTTCTACTTATCTCTATTGCATAAAGAATTATCCCCCTGGTTAAACAATTCTGGTCCTTAAGTGTACATACACTTATTCATCTGGATTGTTGTTAAAAGACTTATCCCAAGTGAGTTGAAGAAGTCCTCACCTTGGAAGCCTATTAATCCATGCAAGAGGATTGATCTGGATGCCCAATTGAATAATTGGATGAGTCAGCAGTAGAAGTACCATTCCTCACTGACTCCTCCCTGTTTCTTTTACAGGTTGAGGGATTTAACCACGAATAAACCTTCTCACTTACCATTCTTGTTAACACTCAGAGCACAACCCTTACAGGTTAGTAGCATAGAGGCTGACACAAGCCATCTTCCAGAACCAAGCGCAGCATGATGTCATGTGTCGCCAGGCAACCAAGCCATCTTCCAGAACACTCTGCATAGGCAGTACCAGCCTGCCAGACCTGCTGTTATCTCCTTCCACCCAGGATTTGGGGGTCAAAGCCTCTCCTCACTCCTTCCTTCCTCCCTCCGCCTCAATATTTTCCCTCCCTTCACTTTTCACAATCCGTACCCCGTACCCTTACGTAAAACATAAAGTACCCTTATTACACACCGCTCCTCCGTTCCATTCCTGGTTGAGATATGATCTCCCACTCCACTCCTTGTATGCACACCGCTCCTATGTTCCATTCCTGGTCGAGACATGTTCTCCCAATCCACTCATTGTATGTAATCCTGTCCGTATATACCACACCTCATCCATAATGATTGTTCCTGCTCTTGTAATGCTTGTCACATGTATGCAACTATGCTATCCCAACACCTCTGCTGTATGCTTTTGGCATTGGAACAGGCACAGCACACCACAACGCGCGTTCTTTCAAGAAGGCTAAGTATGATTTTTTAGTTTCTTGGAACAATTCTACGGTGGCGAATGATACTTGGATTGCTGAAGATCATTTTCCAAGTTTCATGAAATCATATTTGAACACATTCAGGGAACTTCATGGTGAATTGTTTGGTGGAAAAAAGAAAAAGAAAAGCAAAGCAGCAAAGAAGACCCCGGCAGAAGTCAGAGTATAAGGTGAGTCTTATTTGTAACGTTTGAAGTTTTAGTTAACAAAATCTTTTATTTATTGTTAAGTTTTGCATAAAGCTTACTGATTTAGTAGTTATATACCTACTATATTTGTTAGTTGGTTATTATGTGAATCTTTTATAATTAGTTGATTTCATTATAATGATCATGATTTCATTATAGTTGATTGGGTCATTGTTTCCTTGTTATTATATATATGATCGTTGTTCTCTTTTGTGTCTTTTCTTTTCTTTTCCTCATCGCGATTTTCTTTGTTTTATTTATCATCATTACATCTTGATCCTCGAAATTAAAGTCTTAAGTTCTTTTCTTTATAAAACCCTTTCAAGAGTTTATCTTTCTTTGGAAAGTAAACTACCCTCCACTCTTTCATAATATAGACGGTTTACTCTCTCAAGTAAACTTATAGTCATTCAAGAAAAGAAAGTAGTAGGCGGGCTCTCACATACCAGTCATGGGAGCAGAACTCTACAAAAAAAAGCAGTGGACAGATACAAGCATATCTTACAATACCATGCTGTAAGATATGCTTGTATCCGACCACTGCCGTCGCGCGACGGCAGAAGGAGCCCAGCCAGCTTCTCCCTCCTGTTGATCTATGATTTCTTCTTGACATAACCCTGGCAGACCTAGAATGAGCTGTGTTGAGCTAGGATATCTCTTTTTAGATTGGACCAGCCTGTGCAGTAGTCATCGTATGTAACATCTCAGCAACTTCCCCCTCCTCCACTCACTTGATCTGCACTCTCTTTGTTTATGTTTCACCTGGTCATATTGCTGTGTGCGTGTATACTTGACAGGAGTCTGACAGCATGATCAACATGATACCTAAACAACTCCGATTTAAACAAGTAAGAAAATCAACGATACATGTGGGTGATTTTTTAACTTGTGTCAACGAAACTACACTGGGTTGGCAAATGGAAGTCATAAGATAGAGTTCAAAGTTCTGGTTTTGATTGTAGAAGTAGATGGTGATACACATGGCTAAGAGTTTTGTTCATATTTTGGAAGATGATGATGAAGGATGGTTGGACTTTTCATAGACTTGATCTAGACATTTTGTTAGTACATGAGATATAAAAGAGAGGCAAGAAGAGGGAGGTGAGGATAGTGAAGAAACGGGGAAATCGATGATATAAGAGAAAACCTTTCTTTTCAAGAAGGCAAAAGTGCAATTATAATCACAGTAATAACGATGAAAATCCAGGTGGGACAAGACCAGAAAAGAGAAGCAAAAAAAAGCTGAGGGGGTTGATGGTTTGAGATATGAAGGGGTTAAAGGGAAAGCTCCGATACAAGAGGATGGTGGTGCTGTGAATGGTCGTCAGAACCGATCGGAGTGAATCTGAATAAGACTGAGTCATGGACATCCAACTTGAGCTTCATCTTCCCTTCGAAACTAACCATTCCAAGGGTCTCTCTCTTCCACAAATCTCGCACCAAATACCATCTTTCTTCTTCGTTTTCTTTTGAGGGGGACCAGGTTCCTTGAAATCTTTCGAGCTCACTCAACTTGATTTCTACTTCTACCGGTACTGTTTTTTTTTTTTTTTCAATGAAGATTTGATCAATTACTAGTTTCATCAAAAGAGAGAAAAAAAACTCTTGGGAGTAGTTTGTCAGATATGTGAAGATGGAATGTGAACCTACGATCAAACATGTTTTGAGCCCCGGCATTGACGATGGCCAAGAAGAGAACACCATCTTGGTGTTCCAAGACCCAAAACTGAAGACTCCATTCACTGCGCTCCGGGGTGTCGAGATGGGAGGATGCAGGGGTATGACTGATGGGCAAAGATCTAGAGTGACTGATTTGACTTTCCAAGCATCGATTAAGATCGAGTATAGGATCGACTGTCTGATGGAGAGAGAGTCCGACAACCATCCGTCGCTTCTCGACCAGCTTCTTACAATCTTCGATGTTCACTTGGGTTCCACTTTGCCATTTTGTACGCGCTATCTCGAGTCGAGTCTGGTTGAATCGCTCCAGTCGAGCTGGGTTCCAGCTTGCCAAGCGAGCCACTTCGAGCACTTCGACGTTCTTGACTAGCGCCTTTCGTGACTCTGGTAGCTTCGTCAAGTCATCTCCCAAGTAAAATGGCGAGCCCTATCAGATCGGACAGAAAGGATGGATTGAGATCTGGTATCTTCAAGGGATAAGACAGGGGCGGATGACGTACAAGGACTGCCCAGAGAGTGACAGTACTCTTGGATTCCTCGTAAGTCATATCGCTAACGAGGAGGGAGTCGAGGTCGATCAGACCCCTCCATGCACGGTTCTTTTCGACCGAGGTCCAAAGGGCGGCGGTCTTGATGTTCCGAATGACGCGGTCAAAGGTGGTCATGCGCTCGCCATAGGCTTCGATGTCTTGTTCTACCCGCCAGCTGTCTGCATTGAGGTCCATCGTGGGACCCTCGATGGTCGGGATGGCCCAACTGGCGACTAGCCAGATGCGCTCGCGACCGACGTGTTTCCACTCCTCCTCGTATCGCGAATCGATAGCTCTCCGCCACGCCGCAAGATCCGCCCGGGTGTCGCATTTCGTGTAATCGGCTGGGTCGAACGAGGATCCTGGGACAAGAGCATCCAGCTTCACAAAGCTCACATTCCAGCTGTAGAGCCCATCCACCACGCTGTTGATGTACATCTGACTCCCTGGATGGCTGTAGTTCAAGGGATAGCCGGCGTTGAAGGCATTGGCCATCGGTCGCTGACAGTTCGTACGTCGTTTCCTGCCCGGTGGGTGATGAATTATTGGACATTGAATGATTTGGTCGGCCGTGTATTCGGTATTCATCACCGGATACTAGGCAATGAACGAAAGCAACAAGTTCATCAATCAATTAATCCCTACCATTTAATCTTTCCCTCTCCCTTCCGTAAAAAAAAGAGCAATAAGAAGTCTTTACTTGATTTTGTACCGCTCGAGAATCGATCCCTGGCAGATAGTATAACCCTAGTTTGAGATTTCTTTGCGCTAGGTAGGACTGTAGATGATGGATTCCATTAGGAAAAGTTTGAGTATTGAGGACCGTTCGACCGTATTCATCGAGTTCAGCATCCTGTGAAGTAAGATCAAACATTTTTCAGTTAGAGAGAAGCGAGATATACTTAGATCTTATAAAGGAATGCGGAAGTTGAAGTTGGTTCCTTTCAATCTCAGCTACTTGTTTGCCAAAAAAGGCAGACGATTGATCTAGATATTACTCAACTTGCCAGCCAGAATCCAAGTTGATTCGGTCATACCTGGGCAATTTCCGCTTTTCAATAATTACTTCAATAACAGTCATCTAAAAAGAGAAAGGAATAGGCTTACCCGAATTCAGAGAACTCTTTGGAGAGTATATCAGCTTGGGCCTTAACGTTCCGCTCAGTCAACCAGTAGAATCCATATCCCTATTTTTTGCAGACATATGGTCAGCACATTCCCTTTATAAAGAGGGCCAGGGAATCCAATCTGACTTACCTCTCCTCTGTAGGCTTGTAAGCTCCAGCTAGACCAGCCGAGATAAGTTCCTGGGGGACGATCGTCAACGAAATCTTGTTGTTGGTTTGAATTGAGGATGAGTTGAGGTTCTTGGTGGATGTTTGCTTGGTTCTTGTTAGTGATGAGGAGTAAGGTGGAGATGACTGTCAGTCTGACTTTCATCTTTCTTCTATTCCCTGCTCAGTCTCGGTTGCTGTGTTTGCTGTGCAGATCACAGTCGATCGCGGTAGCTAGGAAATCGACGATCAACTCCCCCGGGGCAGCCTATAGCATCGGGGTAGCTCGAGCTTGACTAGGCAAGTCCCATCCCGGGTGGAGCTACGGGGGCGCGACGTCCTCCCTGTCCAATTTGTGTGTCATCTGTAGAGTATTTCATCTGCTATGTACTTTGGACAGATCAGATTTGTTTTACACTGAAGTCAAGTGGTCTTTGGTTCTCTTCGATTTTGGTTACCAGCAACAAGTTTTCAAACAGAAAGGTATACCAAGACATATATGTAACTTGCTTGGAGACAAAGCAGTAACAGTATGTTTCATATTGACGTTCCACTACTAAACCGATGTAGTGATCTGATGGATGATGCAGCTGCGCTATGGACATGATCACAAACACCAGTCTGAATCTTCCTGTCTTGTCCCAGATTTTTTTTGCCACTGCACAGGGATCAAAGTTTTGGATGTAATTATTTTGAGAGGTTTCAAGTCCAGAAGATAAAATTGGGGAACCTCTTGGGCAGGATAAATAGATTATGAGTATGATGATGTTGGGACTTGGGTTGTCTCAATCAGCCAATCCCAAATTCCAGTCAAAAAATGCTTTTGAAGCTTTTGATTTTTATTTTGTTTGGTGCCCTGGGTATCTGATGAAAAACAGGAATTATAATTGAAACTAGAACCAGAACTAAAGACAATAATAATATGAATTAGACATGGAACAATATCAAATGAGAAACAAGAGATGAAAATAGCATACCACGAGAAGAATTAATCTTTAGCAGAAGAAGAACAGAAAGACTGAGGTAGATGAGATCAAATAAAGACAGGTAGTAAGAGCTAGACAAAATAGAAGGAAGAAAGTGACAAGAGAATGTAAGTTGTTAATGACGGTATCAAAAGATCAAAATCGATGAAAGTTCTTGATGTCGGTGAAGTTGATTTTCTCACCAAATTGGCAAAAGACCCGTGAGGAAGTTGAGTGAGTACATCGGAGCGATGAGAAGTGTTGAGGTTTGAAAGGAATAGAGATCGAGATGTCGACAAGCTCAATAAGATTGATCAATGAGGGAGAACAGGGAAAGAAGATAGAGAGCGATGGAGAAGAGGATACAAATACGGAAAGGGAAGTTGAGGATAGAGCTTTGAAGAGAAATGGTGAAAGAGTTGGAGCCTGAGGTGAAAGAGTTTGACGAAGTTGAGCGCTAGTTGATGTGAAAAGGGATCAATGGATTGAAGTTGATCCGAGAGCTTCTGGGGGAAAATTTGAGATGTCGATGAGAGAGGTATTTATGTAGTTTTAGGAGTGTGGTTGATTTGTGGTTCATGTCGTTGGATCCTTGAGGGAGAGATCGAGTTGTGGTTCGGTTTGACGACTGAGCGACGTGGTGTGTTGAGAAGAAGTAGGAAGAAGGAGGAATTTAAGAGAGAGGAAATGACGGAAGGGGGAAGGATCGAGAGAAGGAGAGAGAGAGAGAGCGGAGAGCGGGAGCGAGAGAGAGTGAGAGCGGAGAGCGGAGAAAATTCCAACAGTATCTTTGGGGCTTTCATTTCTTCACTGTCAAAACTTGAAAGTGAAGCAAAAAGTAGTGGATCTCTACCCCATCTCTGTGGTAAAGTCTTGTTACTTTGTGCTTTTCCCTGACAATTAATCACCAATTTTTATCTCTGATTCTGCATCAAACCTCAAAAGCAATTCCCTCTATCAGGAAGGATGACAAACCATTACAGAAAAGCTTGTTCATTCAGTTTATTGAAGGGTTTCAGCACCATTTAAACAAAATGTCTCTTGAAAAGCGTCAGTAAAAGTTGCAACATGGAGGTTTAACAATAGGTAGTAAACTGATTGGATATCTCATTTTCAGGTTTGAAGGTGATTGGAAACTGGAAAATAAATGAAGGTATGTCAATGTTTTTCTCTCCTTTTTTTCTGTAATTATTTGATGATACTGAAATGATTCTTTCTCATCATATTAGAGGAGTTGATGGTCCTTTATCAAGATTCTGAAGGCCTTGAAGTTCTCAGAGTGGATTTTGAGAACAGGAGTACTGAATCCCAAATTCTTGTTTATGTAGTGAAGCCAAGAGAATTTGCTGAAGAATCAAAGAGCGTGATATCCATATTTAAGCAACTGAAGCTACTGGACCTAGGTGGACTTGAGTTAAGATTTGAAAATGCAAAACACCTGGCAGAACTAATTCAACAGGGTGAAGATACTGAAATGATGAAAAAATTACCACCTGAGCTTGTTCCATTAGTTGCAAAACATTCATGGAGAAAGCTGGCAATATCTTATGTGCAAGAGATTGTGAATTTTATGCTTTCATATTCACACAGTTTAAGTCAAAAACTCTATGTTACACCAGACCATCAATCAGTACTTGCAGGAGTAGCTCCTTATGACTTCAAAATGATTGATTTTTTGTTCAAGAAAAACTTTTTCAATCATGAAACCATTAGTAAAATATTCCAGAACAAAAACATACTCCGGATGACAGCATATTATAACCTCAACTTTTTTTCAAAAAGGAGATCATTATGGCATAAAGAAAGTTGCCACAGATATTAATGAATTATGGTTCTGACCTTTGAGGCTAAGCCTTTTCAAGTGTATGTTTTTTTTTCATATTTGAATATTATTTCAGGAAAATGTTTCAAATTGTTAAGCTTATACCTGGGCCATCACTGAATATCTATCTGTCAGTGTAAACTTACCTATTTATTCATTTTCAATTGACAATGATAATTTCACTGCAGAGATGAGTGAACAGGATGTGAGACACATGAATTTTGAAATAATTCATGCAAAGCTCTTCAATCTTATCTATCATAGCTATCCATATACAGGCCTGAAAGAATGCAGAATTTTTTGTGACCAATCTTTATCATGTGGCAAGTACATCAGAAAATTTGAAGAAACTATGCTGATTGGTAGTCAAAGTGTTCAAATGAATCAAGTCCAGCATAAAAAAAATTAGATTTGAATTTGAAAAAGATGTTGAAAATCTCTCAATGATTCAATTAAAAATTGAAGCTCTAAATTTGGAGAAAAATGAGGAAAGGATTTACTATTCCATTCTAAATGGGCATATTATTGAGCTTTTGTTTTCTCTTGAGGAATATTTATGTCCAGGTATTGTCAAGAAAAAATCCAACCAAATTCATACAGATAGGATTTGGTTGAATCACACTTTGTTGAAAATGAATGAGTTGAAGATTTTGGTAAAGGGACATCACAGTTTCACCCAAGATAAAAAAACACTTTGAAATATCCACAAATTGGCAGCAATATTACTCATCAAGATTTCCATGATAAAGCCCTCAAACTCTATTCAAAATATCTTGAAATCTGCTCCAGGCTTGAGTCTCAAAATTGTAATGTCTGGTATATTTCTTCTGGGAATGAATACTTGTATCCCCGCTTGAGTGATGGTGGTAAATCATTTCTGGAATATTTGGATAAAGAAAATGATGATGAAAATATTCAATTCTTTTTCAGAAAGAAAAATATGATTCTTAGTAGAAAATGAAAATAGGCTTCATAGAGGCTTCATTGCTGGAGAACACCATAAATGACATCATACCTCCAGAGTATTTTAATCTTTAATTAGACCTAGAGGCCCAGTCCATGTTAAAAAATACATCTGTATTGTACTTATCACTGAGATATTACAGAATTTGCAAAGAAAGTTGGACCCAGGTACTGCATTTTTTTGCCCAAAAATGGCACCTAGTTCCTCAGCACCCAAAACTGTCAGGACTCAGGAGGGTATGTACATACCAGTGGTAATTTCTGCCCTGGTCACCTGCTTTCCTCTATGCACCATGTTGGATATGCTTGTAGTTGGTCTTCATGCTTCTATCAAAACATAGCTTGTAATGTATATGGTCATGACTGTCTCTCATCCAAAATTCATTCCTTACTGAATCTAAATAAAATTTATCTTTGTGTCCAGTCACTGTCACAAGACCTAGTGTCTGTAACTTTCAGTTCATTTGTAGCCTGGTCCACCTCAACAGGTTATGAGACCCATTGCTGCTACAGCTCCTACCCAACTTTGGTTATCAATTGCCCCAATAATCGTGACTATACTTGGAAATCTTCATATTGCTCTCAAGATGCCAATTTGTCAAATGAACAACCCCTTGGCCCTAATCCAATCAGTACCAACACTAGATGGAAGCTTGGTGACATTCCCTGCATGGTGCAACTGCCTGTTGAATTTGTTAATTGTACAGGCGGTTCACAATAGCTTCTTGTGCAAAGCTCTCTCAGTTCTTTCAAGAAGCTGCAGCACTGCTGGGGACCTAAAATTCAGTGTGAAAGTTTAAATTTTCACTGAGAAATTGAATCTCAGCAATTTGCAAGAAAGAAAGAAAAATTAACAGGGTGCCAAGAAGGGAAAAATGCTATTGTAAAACCTGCTATTGTCAACAAGAATCTACCTCATCCAAGTAACACCAACTCAATGGAAGGTGAACTGGCTGTCTGATCCCTGGAGCAACAAGGCTACAACCCTGATGAATACAATGCCAACTGGGACACACTGTCCAACATGGCATACTCTACAATCCAAATGACACTATCCTCGGACCTTACCATTCACTATGAGACTGTTGAACCCACTAGAAAGCTCTTTCTGACTATCTGTGATTAATGCAAAAAGAACACCCAAGCCAGACAACTCCAGCTTCAGGATATGTTTTGGACGGCTGGCCATGGCCCAAATTAGCCCACTGCAAAGTGGATTGCTTGGATTTAGATGGCAGCAATTGTCAGCCTTAGAGATCCTCAAGAGTATCCAAAAGACTGCTTAATAATATATTACTTGTAATAATAATAAGAAAACCTAGAATATTATTTTATAAATGAACTTTTCATAATATTTTAGAGGGGGTTGCTCACTGGAACCATCCCCAAATTCCTACTCCTTCTAGGACTTTGTCACAACTCAAGAGCCTCAGAGGCTAGTAGGAATAAAAACATAAAATACTCTAAAAATAATATAAAATAAAGATAAAAAAACAAATATTA